TTAAAATGGGCCTTCTTTTGCCTGGGCCCTCCCGCAGTTGGGGGCCCTGCAGGCCCATAGTTTCGCCACTGGTTGCAGCAGCAATAGACGTTTTGAAACTTTTTAACTTTGCAAACACTTTTTTCGACATTCATCTCCTAACACATTACCTCTCTGAACATATACTTACAGGCTGAACATATACTTATTTTCTGAACATATACTTACAGACAGAGCTTCTTCTTACAAAGGAGCCGAAACTGGAAATCCTTTGTTAATCTTTGGCAGCACTGGATATAAACAAACTTCACTTTTTTCCATTATTAATTTATCATTTGTTTATTGTTCAATTTGCAGCGACATTTTTCTCCATTTTCAGATATAAGAAAAGCTTCGGAAAAATAAATCAGTGCTCCATCAGGTTTATAAAGTTTAAATTGAAGCTGGTAAATGAGTTGAAATCACTATAACAAATACCAATTTAAATTTTGAGGTTCCTAAATTTGGTAAATAATTGTTTCTGCAATTTCAAAGCGTAAAGTCATAAATTTTGTTCAAAAGTTGATATCGTTATTAATGGGCACTCAAGTACGCTTTATTCAAACGGTATGCACCTTTATCACTTTGTAGATGGATTTTACAGATGCCTTTCCGGATCTGCCCGCAATGTAAGTAATGAATGTAATATGAATAATAATGAGAGTAGCTTTCAGGCTGTTGCTCCTAATGGGTTTTACAGTATGAGGCAGCAGTTTATTGCTCTTGATTTCAGAAGCTGTTCCGATCAGCACTTAAACGGATCAGTACTTAAGCTCAGTAATACCAGTAATGTAAGCTCAAACAATAGGTATAGGGCAAGTTGATACCTTCGTGTTTTTAGCAATGGACGCCATTGCTGTGTGTGATAGCGGTCGTTTTTCTCAATTCTCATATTTAAATTTAACTATTAAATCCAATCAATAAAAATTATTTTTATTTCCTCCGTTGAATAGCCGCTTGGTAGTACATAACCATGGAAGGAAAATGTTTTCTGAGGGGGTTACAAATTGATTTCTACTTGGGTCTCAAAATTCTCTTCAAGGACGTTACAAAAATGTTTTAGAAAGCAAAGTGGTTAAGTGAGTTCAAACTTCTATTTTACATCTACTACATTTGATCATTTTAAGAATCCAACGATTACTACTGCTCAGGGATCTTAATTTATCCAACTTTAAATGTTTCTTTTAAAATAATAGAAAAAAACAGATTTATTTATATCAATGAAATTTAAGTGATGATGGTAAAAATTTATTTAGTGATTATGCTAGTTATGAGTTTTTATATTATTATACTTTTAAGTTATTTATGTGTTAATTCTTAATTATGTTTTTATATATATTTGTATGCTACTGTTATGTAGAATTTTTGTTTATATGTATGGGGTTCTAAATTAACTTCCTGACGAAAAGTTGACTTATTGCAATGACTGCAAAGTTGTCTTTTTTTTTACAAAATTTTCTAATCTTTCAACAATAGGTTCTGATGGCTTTTCTAAACTGACAATAATTTTGTTTATCATTAATAATAATATTGTTAAGGTTATCATTATCATTAGTTTTATCTCTTACTTTTGGTACTTTTTGAAATATGGAGAAACGTCTATTAGTTAATTCCATAGCTTTTTTTAGATCGTATACATTTCTGTTTTAGATGGTATACAAAATAAGTTGTTATACATATCACTTTTTAAAGACTGTGAATTATGTAAAAACCTTAATAAATGAGCAAGATCGTATTTTCTTCTTTGACATATCCTTTCAACTTGAGCATTCTTAAGACTATTTGCTAAATCTTGAGCATCAAGTTCTTTAATAAGAATCTTTAATGTGTCATCAGCTGTTAATAATGTTGCTTTTCTTCTACAAATCATTTCACAACCTAAAACAAGTGGCTCAAGACTTTTTGCTTAACTTCCAGCTCATCATCGGGCAACATGAGTTTTTCTAAACTGAAATCTACTAGAGATTTACCAACTGCTTTTTAACTTTGATAAATCTTTGAATCATAGCCAGCATCGAATTCCAACGAGCTTTTGAATCTTAAATAAGTCCTTCCTTTTGTGCAAATTTAGTTTTAAAACAAAATTTCAAGTTATTTATTTTTAAAGCAGATCTTTTAGAAGTTACAAAAATTTTACGAACTTTAACCAGAACCTTATAAAGCTCAGGAACAAGATCAGGAGCTGGGTAACTAATTTTATTTTCATCCTCATTATTATTTTCATCATCAAAAACATCAAAATAATATTCAACATCTTCTTCATCAGAAATCTGATTATTTTCAACTTTCTTTTTATAAATAACAATAAAGAAATAAATTTGTTTTAAAAAATAAATGTCTTTTTATAAATAACAATAAATAAGCAATAAAAGAAGTATTTTCTAATTTTTCCATAATGGAAGTACTATCTGTAGTTATGCAAACTATATCACTGAAAAGACTAACATTAAACATGTCTAATTTTTTGATGAGTAGTTTAAGGCATTTATCCGATCCAATTATTCTCTCTAATTCAAGATTTATAAAACCAGTATTAAAGTGAAGAAATGTATTTAAAAAATGTATATAATTTTAATATTTATCCAAATCTACACTGAACTTAAAATCTTTTTTTTTATTTCAAGTATTTTTCTTTTCTTTTTTTTTGCTATTTCGATATAATATTTATAAATAAGGTTCATGACATCTGTTTTAGATTTTGGTAGACTGTAGCCTTTATCTTGAAGTAACTCATGAATTTGATCTGATTCAGCTATTGCATTTATGGAAAATCCATAAATAGCAGCAAATTTAGCCAATTGTTTTCCTAATGAAGTTTTTTTTATTATAGAATCAATTGTAGATTGAACACAACGTTATTTATTTGGCGGTTTACCTTCACATTCTATATTTAAAATAATATTGTGGATTTTTTCTAAATGCCCTTTAAACCTAATTAATTGTGGACATTATTTGAATTGTGCCTCGTCATTCTTTTTGAGACCAAAATAATTCCAAACCTTTAAAATTTAACGATTTGAGAACTTTTTCATAACAGTTATTGAAATTTAATCGCACAGTGACAAATTTCAACAAATATATAACATTAGGTGATCTTCTAATGGTCCGGTAAACAAAAAAATCTGTTTTTGGCAGAAAAGTTAACGATCTTTCATTAAAATCTATGGGTACCAAAAAAAATCCCGGGATTCCGGAAAAAACTTCCAGGGCTTTCGGAATTTTGATTTATTATTTTTCCGGGAACAATCTTCCGGGAACTCTTAAGTTTTATATTTATATAAAACTTGAGAGTTTATATATATTTATTATAAAATGACACAAATTATAACAAAATATTTTCATATTGCAATATAATATGCAATTTTAAAATAAATAAAAAGATATTCAGAGACACAATTTTGTCAGTAAAAAATTTTAAAATTTTCATTTTATTAATACTCGCAGATAAATACATAAAATTTAATTAAAAAAACGAAAGCATTTACCAATATAATAATTTCAACATTGTATTTTAATATAAACTATGATAACTCTAAGTTGATGTTATCTTTCTTTATATTAAAATGATATATCTGACACTGTGTGCCATAAAGACCGCCAAGTTGAACTTCTCCCCACCTCTAATTTTTTTTTATATTAAGATAAATGCTGCTAAAATATGTTATTTTTGTGTATTAGATAAATCTAAAGTAGATCAGAAGTACCAAAAAAAAAATTTTTATAACCCTATTTACCCCCTTAAAGCGATAAACCTACCCCCTATAAAAGTAACCCCTTCTATTATTATTTTAAAAATCAATATCCCTTATTATCCTCTTTAAAGTATTATGATATAATCTATAACTTCAAACTTAAATCATTAGAGTCCCTTATAGTAATAATACAAAGGAAAAAATAAAAAGGAAAAAACAATGAATACAATAAAAATATTAACACAACTACTTATATATTGAAATATTTATATCTTATCTATGGAAAAAGTGGCAATGGCAGATTTTAATTGTTAACCATAATCTAAATGCCCAATCCTTCGTTTATATCAAGACCAACTTGGTTTAAAGGCACTTATAACAGCCTCTCCAGTCTGTTCAGCATATGACCCAAGAAAACAATAGTTAAATTTCACAAATGGGAGAATATGACAAACCACTATATGTACTTTCCAAGTAACATTCAGCTTTGAGTAGTTTGATTAGTATGATTTGAGTATGATTGATTAGTTTGAGATGCTAAAATATCTATTTCTAAAACATCTACTTTTTCTAATAGTTTTTTGGCATTATTGCCATCAAAGCCTATCCCATGATAACCACGAAGTAAAATATAATGCTCTTTAAGCCAATTCGTAAACAGAGGCCAATGATCTAAAAGTAGTCTACCAAGTAGTGTCACAATCCCCATAAGAAGATGTAATTCTGGTGGTGGAATTAAGTGATTAATTTCAACTTCAGGATTTTTATTAAAATAAACAAGACAAGGACTAATCATATTTTTAAAATCTTTCATCTGCAATGGCTTTGCCCCATTTTCAACAAATAACTTATACCAAAGATCAAGAGACCCTAACGTTCTTGGAATACCACTTTCTAATGTACATTCACCTTCACACCATAAGCAGGCATATTTACCAGAATGAGAAGATAAACCGAAAATGCTGTTAGCACATTTTAAATCAAATGCAAGGTGATATGTAACATCATCTAGATTTAATCTACTCAAGATTTTCTGCAGATTTCCATGATCTTTAGAAATATCTTCAACAATAGCAAGTATAAAACACTTTTTAACTCCACTGTTGATGTGTATCTCATTGTTATTGGTCTTGTCAAAGACATTTACAATTACTTTAAGAAATCCTTGACCTCCATCAATGGATACACATACCATACTGAAAAGAGGATCTAAATATCTTTCCATTAAAATACTAAAAATAAATTCAGAAGTGTCATGAATAAATACTATTTCTCTTGTTACAGTTTCATCATTCCAAATAAAATCTTGCTCTATTTTATACTCAGACTCAACTTCTTGTTGCAATGATGTCATCATGCTAACTACATTGTTCTCAATATCAGTAGACGACCCTAGATACTTACGCAGACTTGATTTGTTTGATTTATTGTTAATTCCAGTATAGAAGTTAACTCCATTACTGTTTGGAATGATATCTGATTGAAAGACTTTTTATAAGATTTATTTTTTTTTAGTTCCAACGGTTAAAGTTAATGGATTCCCACCTTAAAAATAAAGTATAACTAAATTAAATATATTTTTTTACCATAACTAAAGTTAAAACACAAATATTTCGAAAAAAAAATAGCAATCAAAATAATTGTTAAACTATATGCCTCATATCTGTTTTTGTGTGCCTTTAAGTTTTATAATATATGATATAGACTATATGGTTATTTAGATCTTTTATCGACAATTTCATAATGAAAATAAAAAACTTAGCTACCTGTAGATATTTTAAAGGATTGCCCTCTCTCTATGCCTTCTCGCTTCATCTTGTTTTTAATAATGTCTGAAACAACTTGTTCACACGATGTGGAATCAAGGTTTTCTGACAAATTAATTAGGTTTAAAACAGCCTGACCAGAACTACAATTGCTATGACCTCCTGAAGAATAAAATTAAATATAAAATTTATATAAACTTATTAAGCTTAAAAAAAAGGTTTTTTTTATTGAAGTTATATAAATTATAATTAAAAAAAACTAATTATGTATAATTTTACATATTGTTTACAATTTACATAAATATAATAAAATATTTATGTATACATAAATATTTGACAACTTTTTATTTACTAATCAAATAATTTAATATTTATTTGTAAACCTCTTGCAAGGAGAGAAAAGCAGCAACTACATATATTTTCTTTTGGAGATCCTACAGCTAGTGTTTTACCACGAGATGGTTAAACAATATCACTAAGTTCAGTACTGCGTCTTATTCTGGGCCTGTCAATCTAATTCAGAAACATATACTTTATAAAAAATTATTTCTTAATAATTTATGTATTTATCATTTGAATTTAATAAACTCTGTACTTGAAATACTTTATTCATCCAGTTTGACAGATAAATACTTGATCCCTTCTCCAGCAAAAATATGTTTCTTCTACAATTTGAACATATTACGTCAGGGCAAACAATGAAATCTTTATTGTACTCAGGCCAAATATACTCTTTGATCTTATTTGCTATAGATGGTTATACTTTTGATAACGATTTTGAATATTCGCCTTTTTATTCCAAACAAACTGCACAAACAGACTGCTTCAAATCCGCCATTTTTACCGCTCTGTGGGTTTCTCTCCAATTATTTTTTTTATCAGTTGAAATTTATTTTTAAAAAAAGAAGCCGAAAATGGTGGATTACATCGTTTTAATTGCTAAAATTTTAGTCCTTTTTACTTTTTTTAAACTTAAAATACTAACTCTTCTGATCGAATTCAGATTTGCTTTGCACTTGAAAAACACTTATACAAACTAAGGTTACTTAAAAAAAAAAAATCTGAGGTGGTGAGATTTTGATCCTGACGGTCTTTATGGCTCACTGTGCTGAACCCAACCTAAAAATACAATATATTCCAAAAATATTTTTTATACCAAATGATCCGATGGCGATCACAAATAATACCGAATATGTATTATAACTTATATTTTTAAGATCTTAACCGTTTTTACATTAACTATATTACTTAGATTCTTTTTATTTTTGTATCTGAAAAACAACAACAAAAAAACTCTTATCTCAAATATTTTATTCAATAAAAAAAAACACTATTGTTCAAATAGTCGCCACATAATTGTTATTTAGTTCGTTATAGTCGATCGTGGTATCGGAATTTTGTTTTTCTTTTATGCTAATTCTATTTTCTTCCAATCATTCTCCCCCTCTTTGATAGACTCCAGTCTATCAAACATTTAAATATCAAACTCAAGAAGACACAATCTCGTAATTGGTCGTATAAATTCTTTTTCGCCAATTTTGACTTTCACAACTCTTACACGTCCATCCTTACTTTCAAAGATTCCCGTAATTCTACCAAGTGGCCAATGTCCTCTAGATGTATCTGGAGAAATTACTAACACAATGTCATCCGTTTTTATTTCGCGTTTTTTCTGATTTCATTTATATCTTTTAGATAAAGATGGAAGCCATTCTCGCATCCACCGTTTCCAAAAATGACTTAGTAGTTCTTGCACTCGACGCCAGCGCTTTTTAGGATAATAGCCTTTAGATTGAACTGAGTCAGGTGCAAATTGTCCAACGACTTGCCCAATCAAAAAATGATTTGTAGTTAATGGAGTATCATCTTTTATATTGGCACTCTGATATGTTAGTGGGCGAGAATTCAATAAACTCTCAGCACCTGTAAATGCCTTACAGAGTTCTTCATCTGTAATATCGGATTTTTCGAGTATCCCAGTCATTACACGTTTGACAGCTTTGACCATTATTTCAAATACACCGCCAAGATGAGGTCCTAGCGGAGCATTAAAGTGCCACTTGATTCCTTTATCAGCTGTAGAGTTAGTAATTTTATCCTTATCTAAGTCATTGACAATTTCCTTTAGTTCTCGACATCCTCCAACAAAACTTGTCCCATTGTCCGTTAAAACTTCTAATGGTAATCCTCTTCTATTCACCATTCTATAAAAGGCATTGAGGAATGAGTTTGTATCTAGATTATAAGCCATCTCAAGATGTACTGCTCGTGATAGTAAACAGGTAAACAAGCACAAGTATCTCTTTTGTCGTATCTTTCCTTTACCTTGCATAGTAAGAAATGGACCAGCAAAATCGATGCCAATTCTAGCAAACGCACGTAGTGATTGTTTAAAGCGCATTGCTGGTAATGGGGTCATCAGCTGTTGAGCAGGTTTACATCTTTTTAATTTACATTTGTTGCATTTGCCTTCTGCATCACGGATTTCTTCTCGTCCTCGTGTTACCCGATATCGTTCTGATAGTTTTGTTAATAATTGATTTGTTCCCATCACATGATCGGCTTGGTCATGGTAATACTTAACAATCTAATTTGTTATTGTATGTCCTCTTGGCAAAATGATTGGATACTTAACATCGTAGGGTAAGTAATGGGCATTTTGCAATGGACTGCAAGATCGCAATAATCCGTCTTCGTCTATTTGCGGATTTAAAGAAATGATTTTTCTTGATATCGTTATCGGTTTTACTTTTTCAATGTTGCTATATTCTTCTTTAAAGCTTTCTTTTTGAGCTTTAGCTATGATATCTTTTTCGCTTTCATGATATTCATCAGCTGCTATATCATCCTTTTTACGAAAGTCTGTTTCAAATCGACAATTTCCTATAAACCGATGGATCCAGCCGTTTATCCTGACAAGTTTTTTCCAACATGAGAACTTGTTTATATCAAGCAATTGCTTTGTTACTTAAGTGGATAATGCAAAATTCATTAATACTGGATTTTTTTTACTTCAATTAAAGCTTCTTATGTAATTTCAATGTGATTCTGTGGCCATTTTTCTTCTAAAGAATTAAGGAAACTTGGTCCATGCCACCATACATAATTGCTTTCTAATTCTTTAACTGTTGTTCCTCTTGTTAGTAAATCAGCTACATTAGTTTTTGTTGGCATGTATCTCCATTGTTTTAGTTCAGTCTTTGATTGAATGAATCCAACACGGTTGGCAACAAATGGTTTCAACTTTCGACTTCGATTTTTTATCCACCATAAAACATTAAGACTATCACACCATATAGTTACGTCCTTAGTTTCCAGCTTCAATGCCTTCACAATATTCTCTGCAAGTCGTAAACCGAGGACAGCTCCAAGTAACTCAAGTCTTGGTATACTAATAGATTGCAATGGACTTACTCGGGCTTTTGACATTATGATCACACAGGTCACTTCTCCTGTGTCATATAAACATTGTTGGTAAGCAACAGCACCGTAAGCTTTACAAGACGCATCCGTAAAAACATGGATTGACCTATTTGTTACTGTTGAGGTTGTTTGTAAACATCTGGGAATGTTTATTTTTATGAGATAGTTTAGTTCTTGAAACCATTGATCAACATTATTTGCAATCCTATCCGGAACTGCATCATCCGACTCAATTCCATCAATCCACAGTTCTTTCATAATTATTTTGATTCGAATGATATATGGTGCCAAAAAAACCAATGGATCAAACAACGTTGCCATTTTTTGAAGCAAAGTTCGTTTTGTATATACCGTATTTTCTTCGGTTGTTACAGAATGAAAACTAAATAAATCAGGTTTTGCTTTCCAGACAACTCCAAGTGTTTTCATTGCAGGCAATTCTCCAGAATCTAAATTTATATGTTCTGCACGAACATTTTTTGGTGTTATTTTAAGAACTTCGACCGAGTTTGAAAGCCACTTTTGTGCAAACGTTCCTGCTGAACCCCATAGTAGCGTGAGTTCCGTGTATAATTGAATTCCTACTTTTTCATCAACTACAGAAGTTATTGTGTCGTCCATGTAAGTTGCTTCAAGAACAACTTCAGAAGCCAAAGGAAATTTTTTTGCATACTTTCTTGCGTGTTCTTGCATTAGAAATTGAGCCATAAAAGGCGCTGAGTTGATTCCAAATACGAGCCGATTAAACTGAAATACCTCAGGCTCGGCAGTTGAATCTAGATTTCTCCATAAAATTCGTTGGTACCTTTGGTCATCTTTATGTATTCCAATTTTTAAATATATTTCTGATATATATCACAAGCTAAAGCCACTGGGTATTTTCGAAATCTCAGCAAAACAGTCACAAGGTCTTGTTGAAGTTTTGGACCTTGATAAATAACATCATTAATTGAATTACCATTATAATTTGCAGATCCATCAAACACATTTCTGACTTTTGTAGTAGATTTATCAGGACGAAGAATCGGAAAATGTGGTAAGTACCTACCATCTCCAAGATCCCATTTATTGATTTTCTCCAAGTATCCCTTTTCTTGATACTGCGTAATAATATTATTGGACTCTTCTCCTAGCCTTTTGTTTTTTATTAGCCGTTTTTCCGTATTTTGTAATCTGTTTAACGCCATTGTATAATTATTGTCCAAATGTCTATTACCTTTCCATGGTAATTTTAGCTCATATCTTCCGTTTTCAGTTTTTAGCGAATTAGTTACTATATTAAGGCCGGTAGAGTCTTCTGGACTTGTCATTGTTTTTCTGAATTGCATCTCTTCGTCGCCTTCAATTTCCCATAATTTTTTAATGGTGTTGTTTGCATCTTCTATTTCCTTTGTACTAAATGTTATTTTCGTAAAATGGGTTTTAAGAGATCCACCAGTACCACCAACACATGTCCATCCGAGCGGCGTGAGTCGAGCCACTGGTTCATTAAATCCTCATTTTACTTTCTTGATTGCACAGTGCAGCTCAGCGTAATCCACACCGATTAGAATGTCAATTTTCGGTTTTGGTCCAATATTTAGGAATTCGATTTTTCTTATATGTTTTCAACTTTTTGACATATTTGCCCAATTAACTGCTTTTAAGTTTCCAGTTACATTATTAACTGTAAAAGCTTCCACTGTAATTTTTGTTACTCCATTTAACGATTCAAACTGAAATTTTACCGGCATCATTTCGAAAGAATCATTTTTCCATTTATCATGTTTACAGTTACCTTTTCGGTTTTACCTTGTAGTGACAACTCAGCCGCTACATCAGAGTTCAAATATGTCTTGGTACTTCCATCGTCAAGCAATGCGTTTACCACAACTTTTTTATATCCATTACGAAGAATAACTGGCACCGTTCTAAGAGATATGTAGTTCATGACGTGATTGGAATGAAATTGGATGTTCGACGTATGAGAATTTTCTAATATCGTGTCTTTTTGTTTATAGTCTTCAGAAATTGTTTCTTTTTTATGACTTTTCTTGTGAAGCAAACGATTATGGGTATCTGTACAGCCATCAATCCCACAAATTCTTGTGTTCCTGCATTCTTTTGACGAATGGTTAGAATTCAAGCATCTGAACAAGAGTTTATTTTTCTTAGCTGTCTCCCATCTTTCTTTAATATTTTGATTTTGAAACGTTGGACGCTTCCATATTTTATGATCATATTTGCAAACAGAACATTTCTGTATCCAATTTATTTTCTTTTTTTGACTGTTACCAAATAAAGAATTTCCTTTGTTACCACTTGTTCCACTGTTACCAAAGTAAGAATTTCCTTCGTGTGCTTTGCTACCAATAGTTTTTTTTAAACCATGTAGAGTTTCCATTGCTGCAATTTGAAAATCTGCTTCTTCAAAAATAAACTTTTTTAGAGTTTTAACATTTTCGTT